ATTAATATACTAGTAGATCCTTTCAACCAAGGAATGTCAGCTGGTGGACACCAGGAGGGTTGCCTTTTCTCCTAAAGAGTCTGCCCTCTGAAACTTTCTTTCTCCTATGTTTAGGATTTCACCCTGCTGGCCTTTTGGAAGGCCTTGAAGACCTAGCTATATGCCCTCACCTGGGACCTTGAATGTGCGAAGGACCCAATTTCCTGGTTGTGCTGACACCAAAATCCCTTTTGGTTGCTATTTATATTTAATTTCTTTTTATATCATGTTTTAATTGATTTTTATTGTTGTTTGCTGTTCAGAATCACTGGTTTGTGTTGGGCAGCTATATAAATAGAATGAATGAATGAATGAAAATAAATATGTTCTCCGCTAGCAAGAAAGAAAAGCACATAGCTCTGACATGTCTATATCATATTAAGTCATAATGTGATTTGTTCCAATAAAGTCAACATAGTTAATTCAGCAATCCATGCCATATCCTTGATGGGTGGATTCTGTCATTCACACATGTATCAGAGAAAGATGAAATTCTTCAAAGATGAAATTTTCTTTTTCCAGGGAGTCTACTTTTTTTTTCTTCCCAAGTGATTAGCATTCCCTCTGGGATTAGCCATCTGAATATGATACCTTTTTGGTTTAATTGGTTCGCCAAGAATTTATCATCTCACCTCTGCTCTCTCACTCTTCTTGGGATTTGTTTAAGCACCGAGATTTCTTTTCCTTTATATGTAATGGTTTCTTCTCTAGAAATTTTGTATATAATATCTTGAACTTTCCTTCTGGCAAATCTCATGTGGACCTCTTTTGGATGCTTATGTCGTCTTGCGTAATTTGTGCTCACTCTATATACTTTGTCTAACTCCTTCAGAATATTGTCCTTAACTTTTTCCAATAGGTCTTGCAGACTACTTCTGCTGACTGCCAGCTTCCTGCAATTTGGTAGTTCAAATCTCACCAGGCTCAAAGTTCACTGAGCCTTCCATCTTTCTGAAGTCGGTAAAATGACCCAGATTGTTGGGGGCAATATGCTGACTCTGTAAACTGCTTAAAGAGGGTTGTAAAACATTGTGAAGCGGTATATAAGTTCTATTTCTATTATTAAAGATAAGAAATTCTGTGGACTCCACCACATCTGAGACCATCAGCCCAAGTAGGAACTCAACCATGAGGTGGCCAATATATCAAATAAACAGAATGTCCTTCCTTCACCTAATGGTTCAAAAGAAGGATGTGGTCTCAAAACTGGTAAAGGCAAAGAGTGGAAACCTAAAAAAATGTGGAATCCTTGTGAATCTTTGCATTGCAGGACACTTGTTCCCACTGTATTGTGCTTGCATGGAGCATCCAATCCAGCAATCCCTCCTACATTCTTGCTGGGTTTCTGAGGTATATATGAAGTTAGCAGTAGGTAGAAGACATAACATTTATTACTGAATGGGCTTACTTCTTTGTGTAGGTCTGATATTTAAATGTCTTAGCAGATGAATTGGTACATCAATCTTAAAACACTCAAAATAAATTATAAACAATAAACACACTGTTAAAATTAGCAATTGAAATGCCACTACAGTTACTAGATTTTTCATGTCCAGCTGTAACATTCTTAAGAGCTGTTAAGTGAACAGAAACTGTAAGAGGAAGATAAATCCTTTTAATCTTCAGATCTGGTTAGACTGAAATGTTGAATTTCATGTCTCTTTACACTCTGTAAATTATGTGTCTAGTTTTTAGGGCATCAATTTGTTTGCTTTTTAATGACTCATATTTAACCTGATAAAAATGAGATTTATCAGTTGTCAATTTTTTTTTTGGTTTGACGTTATTTTTCTGCTTTGAATATTTTTCTTTGCCTCTAAGCTTATTTGTGAAATATGAAAGTACAAATGTGCAGTAAATAAATAAATAGGTCTTAACCAGCAATTGTCTGGTCTTTACTGTATAAAACTTAGTTCTATAAGGGGAAATGATATTCATCAGGCAGTTCAAATGTTTAGCTCTGAGTAAATAATAGTAGGATGATGTTTGAATTAATTTATTTAGTTATTTTATTTGATTGACTGGCAAGTAAATCACATAAAACACTGGGATACTTGGAAGTTAATAAATACATAATATAGCCAGCTCCTGTCACGGAAAAGTGACAAAGTCTTTCAAACTATACCTGAAAATAAGTTAGGATTAAGCTGTTGTCAGCCAAATATCAGCTCATTGCTTCAGTAGGTGCTGAGTGCCCTCTAATGGCAGAAAACTGCTATCACATTTAAAAATCAGATTTAAGACCTGTGTACAGTACTAGGATGCAGGTGAAAATAAAAAATTATCAGCTGAATCATTGACAGAGTTAATATTTGTTTTTAACAAAAAAAAAACCCCAGATTTTCATAATCAAACTAATAAATGTATAGATTCACAACCCCCCTAAAGAAAGACAAGGTCAGATTGAATGGGAATATGGTAACATTTTCAAATATTGTTAGAATGGCTTTCACATGGCAGGTAAATTTAAAAAAAAGAGCTTGATCTAATGCAGTTAAAGCAAAGGAGGGTAGATCTGGACTGAATATAAGAAAAATTGTAATGGTTACAATAATACTACAATAAATGAGCTAAATACTGAGGAAGAGAATAGTCTTTTCCTTGCCACAGTCCATAGTTGGGTGTGTTTAGATCACAATTTCTTCCATTAATACTTGACTACTATGTGAGTCACCACAGTCACTCTATTTCTTCTATGTTTTTCATGCAGTGATTCCTAAGTCTTTATTTGCAGTTTTTATTCCTTTCAGCTACTTTGCCTTGTAGCTTCCCTTTCTTTATCCTTCACCAATCACTTTATCATTCTCAACTTATCACAATTGAGACCAGAACTTCTTCTGCTAAGTGATGTGATTGATTGCTCAATTATACAATCATTTTGCCATGGTTATTAAGTGAATCCAGCTTCTCTCATTGACTTTGCTTGTTAGAAGTGTCCTGGGAAAATGTATGTCAGTTGCCAAGTGCCTGGATTTTGTTCATGTAACTGCAGGGATGCTGTGATGGTTGGATAAGAATTGGTCGTTATTTTTTCCAGTGCTGTCATAATCTTGAATGGCTATTAAATGAATTGTTGTAGGTCAAGGACTATCTGTAGATTCTCCTACAGCTGGGCACTCCCACCTTCCATTCCAGGAAAGCAACTGCCAATCTCTTTTTCCTATGAGTGGATTTTCCCGGGCCTACAGGCGTGTACTGAATTTATGTATACAAAGTAGAAGTATCAAAATGCATATATAAGTAGGCACAAGCTGCTGAAAAAGAATATTTTCCACTGTTTCTAATTGTTTTTAGATCTACCTTTATCACAAGTGGTATAATAGTTCTATCTGGAAGCTGTATGGGTTTGGATGGGGAGAAATAATTTCCAACTCAATCTTACCAAGAATGAGTGGCTGTGGGTGTTTGAAAGTTTCAGATAAGGAGATTATCCATCTTTCTATCCAGGATTGAGTTGTACGTCCCTCTTCAATCTGGGTGGGTGGAGGTTGTCTTCAAAAGCAGGTGTTAGCTGTGGCAAGGAAGTTTTTTGTACAGCTCCATCTGGTATGGCAATTGACCCTTTCCAAAATGGGGAAATGTTTAGACAGTTGTTCACACCCTAGACTACTGCAATGTTTTCTACTTAGGGCTGCGTTTGAAAACCACCCAGTAGTTTCAACTGACCTAGAATGATCATGATTAGGAATGTATATACTTAACTTATTTTCTGCCTTTCTCATCAAGAGGTATGCCATGTAACATCTCTGCTTCGCAAGCTGCCTTGGTTGCCAATTTGCTTCTAGATGCACTTCAAGGTGCCAACTGTTACCTATAAAGCATAACTTATATAGCATAAGGCCCAGTTACTTGAAGATCCACCTGTCTCCCATAACATCACTCTAGTCAACATGATCCCACATGGTTGGTATGCTCTGGGTTCCTTTAATTAAACACCGCCACTCTCCGAACCCTGGAAGCATACCTTCTCTGTAGCAGCACCTGCTGTCTGGAATGAGATTTCCTTTCCTACCACCCAAGATCTGGATGGGCCCTGTTCTGTTGCTGTTTAGGAGAGCCACTGAGATCTAGCTCTTCACCTTGTCCTTTGATGAGGGAGAGAAGCTCCCAAACAGCCTTTATAAATTGCCATACCTGGACTGTTCCAGTGCCAAACCATTTTTTAGAGTGAGACTGCTAGTAGTATTTTGGTCAATTCACATGTTTAGCAGCCTGTGAGGAAATCAGTTTTGTTCAAAGAAAGCAGCATTTAATGTTTCTCTTATAAAGCAAGTGGTTATTTGTGTATTTTAAGCATTGCTGGTTTCTTCTTGGCAAGTTTATTATCTACGGTACATGCATATGGGCCCCTTCTGACTGCAGCTTTCCAGCCATTAGTTTCAGAAACACATGTTGTTTGCACAGCCAATTCTCAAAACATAAACTTAATGGTAAACATTTATCACTGTTGATTAGAAGCAAATGTAAAACAGAATTCTATACATGCATATGTACATACATAAATACATGGAGCATCCCCCCCTCCATCACCCCCTATATTGCCTCACTATTGTGAGGTGGAGGAGGAAAAATGAGGGAGTATATGCCAAAAATGTTCCCAACGGGATTACACAAGGCATAAAGGTCATCCCAGATGGCCAACTAAAGCAAGAAGGCACTTATGGACATATTATCATGAAGAAAACCTATTGATATGGCTACTACAAATTGACGACTTGGGGCACAAAATCCTCATCAGGATGCAGCTGTTCTATGCCTGGATGGAAAACTATTTGAGAACCCCTGTAAACCAATGTGACTTTATTAGAAAATAGGATGCAAGAGGAGATCAATAAACTTTGTCTTGTCTGTTCTATATAGTTTAATCCTGTTTATTTATGTCCCTCCTGTCTTCTAGAAGCTCATGGACCACATAAAACATGTGGTCTCCTGCACTTTTCTCCAAACAATTATCCTGTGAGATACTTTGGGCTTATAGTGAGCGACTGGTCTGAAGTCAGCATCAAAGGGGGATATGAACTTGGATATCCCTAGTTTTATTTTAAGACCTTTAATTGCATTGTTTTGGTTTTTAGATATGGTACCAGATAATAGAAGAGAGATGTTTATATATTTTTATCTGAATTCAATCCACATTTATATGGTTATGAGCAAATCAACCCTTGGATAATTCAAAAAGCGCCCAGTCTTTGTTATGAGCAAACTAATTAACATTTGACAAAAACAGAAGGGCTTATATATAATTCCAATTTAGTTTATTAAAAGAACAATCCAGTTTTGACAGTTTAAAAAGGCCTGAACTTTCAAGGTCTGAATGTTATTACTATAGAAGCTGCCTGATGGGCAATTGACCAGACTGATAGCAATCACTCTTTCCTGTTCATCTGAATTCTTGTAGCAGTTACAAAGTTAATTCTTGATTGGAATACATTCAACAGTGTCCATGTTTGATTCTGATTATCTGTATTAAAATATTGTATTTAATTTTTATCAAACACAATTACAATTTATTAATTTTTAAGCCTTGCAAAAATGTTCTTCATAAAATATTTTGACTTTTTCAATGAATGTACACTGTTCCGTTTGTCACTTAAACATGAATATAAAATATACTAGTCTTTCACTGAACACTAACAAATTGAAAAAAATAGATGTCCACCAACTTTCACATTATCACAAAAGTTATTCTTAAAGCATTAAGGAATATACAAACCTACATTTCATTGGCTTTTGAAAGATAATATTTTATAAAGCAGCAGAAAAAGGGAAATGTTGTAAAACCTGGTGTATAAAAACAAACCATACTGCCATTTTTATTTTTTCTTCCCTTTGGAAGGCTTAGCAAACAAAGCAGGATCAATTTGATCTCTAGCCAAACCTCTCACTGAAAAAAGTCGTTCTGCTCTTTCCTGTAAAGTACCTCCACATTTTAGTCCCAAGGCCAATAGTTCAAACTTTAGTTTGTCTAGTCCTATGGCTTCCAGTTCCGCAACAGAATTGAATTCCATCAGATTGATTCTTGCAGTATCCTAAGAATCAGAAACATACATTTTAAATATGTATCTCAGAAGAGGAAAATGGTCTTTAGAACAAGAGCTAAATTAAATGTTAAGTGATTTTGCAATGTCCACTTCTGCAACAAGATGGCTTTGACGCCTTATATATGCCTTATTTTTTTAAAGTTTGTGAATTAGAATATTCTTGCATATGGGGCTAAACAGCAAATATAAATAAGTTAATTCTTATACTGATAAAGTAGTTTATGTCTCCATTTTAGACTGGGGGTGGGGGGGGCGAACCCTTTCAGTGAGGAATGTATGCTCAATGGCTACAAAACATTGTCAAACTGTTAAAGAAAAAGAGAAGACTGTGGGAAGAAGAGAAAATAGGATTGTTTAAATTTTGAACGACATTACTTGTACTTTGATTTGGCTTTAATGCTACTCTTTCTTTGATACAATATTGTAAAATGACATGGATAATGAATTGCCAGAATGGAATGAAGTTTTCAAAATGCACTATTTCTAAAAAATCTAATGGATTCAGGAAGAAAAAGAATTATATATTTAATAAAAAATAACCATACTTACTGCATGTTGAAGCTGACTTGCAGCTTTTTCACTACACGAGGCATTTGTATGCTTTTCTTCTTTCAGAATCTGTGCTGTTTTCTGTTTCTCATTGGCTACAATTTTACTGGAAGTTGGATCTTCTAGTAGATCTTTTTTAGCATTCTCTGTTTGATCTTCTGACTTCTCATCAGAGCCTGAACTGCAATTTACAGAGTCCTCTGAAATCCTGGGAAACTCATTTAAATTGTCAGTCACACTGATATGGCTGCCAGGTGACGTGGAGCATCTTCCTGACGTCCCAGGAGATTCATCTTCATCGCTACTATCCTCTGAACTGTTAGGATCGTCCACCCCTTCTATACCTAACCTGTCACATTCAATTTTAAAACATGAATATAATTTCAGCATGAAACAAAATCTGTGATATAAAAGAACAAATCTGCCCCATAATTATGTATGGGGCAGACATCCTAACACCAAAAATCCATCTAAGTACAATGGTGGTAAATTTTTAAACTATATGAAATTTAAAAAATTTTTTTTTGAAATGATCAGGATAAAGCATTCTGCCCACCAAAAGAATGCCAAAGACTCTTTCCAATAATTCCAGTATCGAATCTCTGAGAATTCCAATATTGAAAATGAATATATCAGTAAAATACTCCTGAACACAACCAGCTTCTAGTTTCATTGCAATACATTACATCAACAGAAAAATTCAATGTACTAAACAACTATAGAAGACAGCTTTAGAGTAGTTATTGCCTCAATTTCAATAACATATGCTAGCAAGGAGAGGAAGCAAGAAAATCCCATTCCACATTAGATCATCATTTATAATTTTTAAGATGAGAGCCACCAACTTTAAAGAAAGCAACTTTTTTTTTCTTGCCATTTTTATCATATGGTTATACTTCTTTAAAATGTGGTGCTTACCATAAACATCTTTTCTTCTCTGATGGTGGTCCGGTTCCAGAATCAGCCACCCCTTTTCGACTCTCACTGCTTTCTGGGGAAACCACCGTGCTGGAAGAAGCTTGCATACCTAAAAACAATAAAAGCAACCAGCCTTCAGCATGTTAAATGACACACAGATGTTAAATCATTAAAATCAGGAATTTAAGGAAATATGAATGTTTGATTTTTTTTGGCTTCATTCCTCAAATGTTTGCTTAATTTATTATTAATCGTCCTCTCAGCTGACTGCATAATGCAAACATGACTGAGGGATGGGGAGTGCACAGTCTTCCATTATATTATTCAGGGAAGCTGAATTTTCTAATAACTGCTTTTCATGGCAAAGGTCAGTTAAAATCCAGTGTCTATGGAGAATACCAAACTGGACAAATTGCTTTAATATGCAAGAGGATGATACTGAAACAGGCAAGTAATCAAAGGCAGAAAAAACAAGAGGTCAGAGCCTGAAAACAAAAGGAGAAAAATACATAAGATATTCAATGTCTAGGATATCTTATTCATAGGGCATTTAATTAAAATATCTAAGGGCCCAACTATCCCAAAGTGCAATGCAGGACAGAGTCTAAACTACTTTGACGCTACCTTTCAAGACAGAATCTTCAAGTCTCTCTGCCATTTCATGGCACTGCTGCTGGTAATCCGGGTTAGTAAAAAAATGCTTCGGTTCCACCAATTTGCGCTTCAGTCTTTCTAAACGCCTTTGTTCCTTGTCTGCTTCCCGTTCTGCTTGTTGTTTCACCCATTCGGCCATCCTGTAAGAAAGGAGGAGCCATATCAAACTGAATTCTATTTCAATGGGTGAATTCAACTATAAAGTCTAAAACAAAGAACCCCAAACAGTACAGCACAATGAGTGAGATCATCTATCTTTGGAAAGTCCTTGCTACTGAAGCTTGACAAGAGACAATATGAATATAATTTGGTGCCAGGTTATTTATCTATGTATTGAAAAGAAATATGCAGGGTTCTCTTGCTCTGCACATTAATGCTTTTTAATTCATTTCACTGTTATTTTTAATTTGATTTGTAATAATTATTTTACTTTATAGTATTATCTTATTTAACTACACAAGTATGTATGAGGCATAGTTAAATCCTATGCCTCATATGTATGGTAATATTTCCAGAAAAAGGCAGGTTAAATTTTTTTTGAAGAATGATTATTACAAAAATGGCACATACTGTTTAATGTACACAGAAAATTTTATCTAAATGGCTGTGAAAAGTCAACACCAACTTCATGACACAACAACCATAGAGAGATAATTGTAAAAAAATATCACAAAAAGGAATAGCTAAGCCTGAAATAGACAAGAATATATAGAAATAGAAAATGGTAAATTCCATGCTGCTAATTGAAAACTAGAACCGATATGAAAATTCATGTACCTGAGATATGACCTGGTTCTTAAAGTTATACATAAATAGTAAGAACAGCAAATAAATGAATATGTATACTTTAGTAATAGGGAAACTCAAGTGAAGATTTTGTAATACGTGCTAATAGAAAGTCTAGCACTTGGTATGTGAACAATGAATATCTGTCATAAAAAGTAAAAATGCCAATATGTAAAAATATGCTTCTGCCCATTTTGTTATATGGACGCTTGATTATGTTAGGAGACACAAAAGTAAGTTGAATGTAGTGGGAATGATATGGTAAGATAGGATCATGACAGAATAGATGCCGAATAAATGTGAATTGAATACAAAAGTGCTTTAAATTGCTTTGGTCATAGAGACAGAATAAATGAGAATTGAAAAGAATAGGAAGAAAAAGTGAATGGGCTGAAGAAAAGGGAAAATCATGAAAAGGAAAAATCTGTGATTACATTAAGTAAACTGAGTTTTTCAAAAAGAAATCCAGTATCATGGTTGAAAGAACAAAATATAATGCATGAAGCACAGTGTTGTATCAATATGTTGAAAGGAATTATAGTCTGCAAGGACAGAGAGTTATGAAGCTGATTAGTGAATAATATTGGTGTAAATGAGTTATTTCATTTACATTTCTTATCTCGGTGCTTTAATTTCTTTGATTCAATGTATTTTATTCCATTTTTATATCTGCATAATGTTGCTTACTCCAACAAACAATAGCACGATGTGTATCTATGGATGGATACATTATAAAAATATTTTTGATAAATCTATGCAATAGTAACAGCGAAACACATGTGTTTCTACTTAGTTAAATGTCTCACGCTTTTTCATGGTTAACATCTCGAAGTCTCCTTCCACTGAGATCTCTGCAAGCCTCTCGGTTTGTTGTCTTCTCAATTTGAGCGCCAAGCGCTCGGAGCATAGATCCAAAACCTGAGAAGTAATTAAAATAGGTCAGTTACAGGAATCTAAGTGTAAGAAACATTGACTCTCCAAGAATCAGAACATGATGCAACACAATAATAAATCCTTTTTATGTTGTTAGTCTGTTTTACCCAGATTCAAAAATCCTTCTTTAGACAAAATCAAAGATACAAAAAAAAAACTTTTAATCCTATTCCAGAGCTCCAATTCAGATGATTCCAAACATTTCAGAACTGTACATAATTACTAGAAAATAATCAACAATGGGAAGTTATAATGGCAAGATAGCCAGTACAGGACTGTCACCTTGTTTTCTTCTTGTCACATTCTCTCAAATTACTGTTTCTTTGTTAAGATCATAAAAATATGGGCAGTTAATATATTTCCCTCTCCCCCTTTTAACTTTTCTTTTTCCCTCATTGCATTGATACAGTTTATCTTCCACCCTTTATGTATTGTACAATATATCACAATAGATCATACATTGGTGGTTCTGGATTGTTTCCAATTCTGTAGCCGTTAATTGTGGATCCACAATCTGGCTCCACTACTATATTTTTCAGGGCCGAGTGCATTACAATTAAAATGAACAAATTCAATCTCAATCATGGAACTTCACTGGATAATTTGGAGTCAGGCACTATCTTTCAGCCAAGCCTATTTCACACAATTATTTGATGAGTTGTTTTATCTGTCATTTATAAGAAACATGAGATAGTCATCTAAACAAATAAACACAATAAATTATTTAATATGCAAAACTAGCAGTGAACCAACCTCCTTTTCCACCACATAATCTTGGTTCCACGCTGTAAAGAGCTCCATCTTGTAGTACACCTCCAGAATTAATACATCGACCATTACACTTTACATAAAAGTGATCTTGAGGAAGCCCCTAAAATAATTATTTTTTTTAAAAGGGAGAGAGATACTAAATATTAGAATATTTATCCCAGGACCTATTTAATTATATAGGAAAGAGAAACTGCATTAATTTCGAACAGGTTATTTAAACAGCACATTGGCAAATCACTAAACAATGAAAGGTTATCGTACAAAACCTAGGACAGCATGAACAATGCATTTATTCACAAAGCCATGCTTCACAAATCACAAAAAGATGGGCAAACGACCCCACTAGAAAACGTTTGAGTTTGAGCATACAATCCATAAAACCCAGTGTCCCAACAGCAAGGATCACTGTCGCCACGGATCGAGGATATCTATATTCATTTGCTAAACAAATATATAAATACTAGGCTCGGGAAAGGTGATTTATGTATCCGCTTCACCTGCGAAAGAGAAAACAAAACAACTCCTCCCAACTTGTTTATTCTAAAGATGTCAATTATAAGAACCCAGGCACACACACTTCTTGTATAGCCCACGCCATCCACTTCTTTCATATGAACACTCATTATTTACCTGCGCTTGGCACCAGGAACGGAGAAAATCCCCAACCGACCAGTCTTCAGCCGGCAACATCAGACATTGCAGCTCCGAGGACAACGGACTCCTCACCAACACCACCATTTTCTGATTTCCTGTAACGACACAAGCAAAGTCCTTGCTTTTCGGCAAGACGCAAGAAAGGAAAAAGCTCGGTGACGTCAACGAAGTAAACAGGAAGTCGGGCATTAGAATGTTGCCAACAGAAGAGTTCCTTTGCAGGTTCTCACGCCACGTGACAGAGCGCGTTGGGGGTACGTGCGCATGCGTAGGGACTTTCCGTGGACCCTGCCTTAAGGAGAGTAATAAAGATGGTGGGGGTTGGGAATGCTAACGTGGGTGAGGGGAGTTAATGGCGCTGCAGAGCGTCTGGTTGCGACCACTTTTCTTGCTTCATCGTTCCCCTTCAAGTTATTGCCCTTCCGAGATCAGAACAGGCTGTTATCCGCCTGGTTTTTCCTGGCAGATTCGGCTCATCAACCTTCTCTGTTTACATTCCCGTCGCCCCTTCCATTGCTAGCGCAGGGAAATTGCTTTATGAGCCAGAAGGCGGGAAAATCCCTCGGTGGCGTTATCGTCATTGACGTTTTGCTTCTTAAAAGTGACCAAGCTGAGGCTGAATTGAAAATGCAATCCAGCGTAGCGACATTTGTAATTCCCCCCCCCCCTAGTTTCAGGCGCAGAAAATTAGGACAGTTGTGATATTTATAAACCTGCAATGGAGAGCTCTGTCCCTCCCTACCCACCGCCCTTGCGCCCACATACTTCATTGTGTTGTGTTGGTTTGCAAACGCCATATTTTCTGCCAATGTCAGCTTGGGAGCAGCCTCTCTCGGGCTCTTCAGGCGGTAGTAGCATAACGAATGAGGCTGTTCGTGTCACTCTGCCAGTTGCAACGGCGACAGGAGGAATGATTGCATTCGTCTTGGAGGCCATGCATATGGTATGCTGACTCGAAGTTGTCGGCATGTGGTAACTAACCGCCTTTCCTGGAGGCAGTTTAAACGTCAAGGCACGAAGAAGTAACGAAAGTGTACTCGAATTACACAGCGGCGCTCGCCAAGATGAGGCTCCTTCATTCCGTCATTTTTCCTCTTTGCAAATCCAGAGCATGTAAAGCCTGGCCATTCGGGTTTTAAAACAAGCATGGCACAGATAGTGTGCAGTTTCACAGGACAGTAGAACAATATGCAGATAAAAGATTAACTTGCTAATGATTACTTTTAGCGAGGTGTGGCTGGGTGCCCTCTCTGCAGTTAAAAGTTGATCTTAACATAATGAAGACTTCTTATATTGCTGAGTACTGTGTAGGAAGAAACAATGATGCACTTATTCAAAACAGCCAGTCTAGTTGCCAAATATAGGAAAGATTGAAGTTCTAATGCTGAAAACATCATTTTAGAATTAATCCTTCCAAATCTAATCAAGAGTAAACAATAAACATGTATAAAATAAATGCTATGAGTGTACACAACGACTGAAAATCTCGACCTGCTATTCATATTACTGTTGCTTATGATATTTAATAATTATTGCATGCCCAGTGAAAACAGTTAAGTAGATATGCCTTGAATTTGAATTCTTAAAAGGAATCAGTTTTAGCTGACATCCAAAACTGTAAAGTGGTTTGATTTTGACTTAGTACAATGTGTAAACTCAGTTGTGGTTTATAAAAAACATGATTTTATGCCTTAGCTAGGTAAGCTAGACAAGTATAGATTATTCAAGCCATGATTTTATTTATTTACATTGTTGCCTGGATTACAAAATGCAACTCTGGGCAATCAACATAAATTCAAAACACATGTAACCAGCCAATTATTTTTTAAAAAATTAAAAGAACTGAGAAACATGCCTTAGAACATGGATGTCAAACTCATGTCATCATGGCAGCATCACATGACATATAGGGACTTTTTCCCCCTTCACTAAACTGGGTGTGGGCGAAGCAGGCATATGACTCATCCGGCCCGTGGGCTGAGAGTTTGACAGCCCTGCCTTAGAATGTCCCATTCAATTTTATGTCTAGCTTCCAGTTGTCAATTAATTGTACAGTCCTGGGCCAATTGGAACCAGAATTTCAGTTGCTAAGCAAGGCATTTAAGTGAATCACACCTGATTTTAAGTTTTTTGTTTTTTTTACCACAGTTGTTAAGTGAATTATTGCTACCACAGTTAGATAAATCATATTGTTAAGCAAATTCAGCTTCTCATTGATTTTGCTTGTTGGAGGCTGATTGGGAAATCACAAATGGTGATCACCTAACCCTGGGATTCTACAACCATTGTAAATACATGCTAGCTGCCAAGCATATCAGCCAATACCTCAGCCAACATGTTCTTACGAAAAAGCCAACCAATCTGCAAACATCAACTCCATCAACCTATCAAGAAATAACACAGCCAACCAGCCCACTTACAACAGAGCTAGCACACCACACCTCCCCACCAGTATTTATAGAGAGACGGCAGCTCCGATCACACTGCTCGCACAAGCACGAAGCCAAAAGCACCAGCCTGAAGATGGCGAGTGGGACCTCATTGAAACATCGCCAAGATACTTTCAATCTTACACAGGAAAAGACCCGAACACGCCAAGACCTGCATAACTACATGTGAAAATCTACGAAAACAAATATATATCTATCCACATACATATACATATACATACATACATACATACATACATATTCATGTTTTTCAAGTCTTCCTGAAATGTCTGATGCTACATTTTCTTTGGCCTTCCTCTTTTTTCTCTGACATCTGTTGTGATCCAATTGATTGTGGTCTTTGTTGGGTGTCACTCACTCATGCAGAGCTCATGCCCACCGAAGTGCATTCATTATATCCTGGGGTGGGATTCAAATTTTTTAATAACCGGTTCTGTGGGCATGGCTTAGTTGGTGGGCATGTGACTGGGTGGACACAGCTTGGTGGTCTTGTTACTGGCTGGGTGTGGCCAATTCAACATCACTCACATCGAGGCACGCATCTCTTCCCCTGGCCTCTTGTGACTGTGGGGATGTTGCAACAGTCATAATTGTGAAAAACAATCATAAGTCACTTTTTTCAGTGCCATTGTAACTTTGAATGGTCATTCCACACAAGCAAAGTACCAGCAAAGGAGGAAAAAAAAAACTCCAGAGAAGTTCCAGAGACAGGAAGTCTAGTCCTACCAAGAATGTAATAAGGGTTAACAGAGAGGCAGTTTCTGTAAGCAACACCAGAATGTTTCCTTCCTGCCTTCCTTACAGGATTGGGCCAGTAATTTCTTCTAACAATCGGTTCTCCGAATGCTTAGAATGTTAACAACCGGTTCTAGCGAATAGGCGCGAACTGGTAGAATCCCACCCCTGTTTATATATTCTTTATATATTATAGGGCACTGAACAGTGGTTAAAATGCTGCGCTTGCCAGCTGGAAGGCTGGCAACCAGGTTCAAGACCTGAGCTCCACGCAATAGGATGGATCCTTGTCCCAGTTCCTGCCAACCTAGCTGATTGAAAGCATACAAATGCAAGTAGTTAAATAGGTACCACTTTGGTGGGAAGGTAACAGTGTTCTGTATCATCATACTGGGAACATGACCATGGAAATGTCTTTGGGTAGCGCTGACTCAGTGGCCTTGAAATGGAGGTAAGCACTGCCCCTATAGTTGGCAATTACTAACAGAGTAAAATCTGCAGGGACTCCTTTACCTTACCTTTTTCTATTATATAGAGCAGTGGTGGCTAACCTTTTTTGGGCTCCCATGCTGAAAATTGTGTGCACACTTGCATGCACGCTCACCTGCCAGCACCCAGAAGGTAATGTGGTGCGTGCCCCCTGCACATGTACGTGCGACCTCCCCACGCACATGTCTCTGCACGTGTGCGCATCTCCTGCTACTTGTTCTGTGGGCATGGCTTGGTGGGCATGGCAGGGGAAGGATACTGCAAAATCTCCATTCCCACCACACTCCAGGATATTGCAAAATCTCCATTCCCTCCCTACCCCTGGGGGAAGGTTACTGCAAAATCCCATTCCCACCCCACTAACCTGTTTTCCAGCTCTGTTCGCCTGTGCAGGGCAACAAAAGAAGACCCAGCTGATTAGCTTGGACTTGGGAAGCAGAGAATAGATGGGGGCGGGATCAGTCAGAGGTGGTATTCTGAACTACTCAAAATTTCCGCTACCGGTTCTCCAGAACTGGTCAGAACCTGCTGAATACCACCTCTGAGGTGATGTTCTGATTAACAACTGCAGTGATTCATTTAACAGAAAAAAATAATATAATGCAGTCATTTTTTTTTTTGCTTAGTGACTGCAGCACTTAATGGAATTGCCAATCCCAATTATTCTCTATAACCAAGACCAAATGAAAGGTTTAGATCTCTCCCTTCTTGCTTTGCTTTTGAATTATCTTTATAAAGATTAAACAGCAATATACCAGGTAAAGAGACAATTACTTAGCATGCAAAATTTTATCATTAATGAGACAAATACCAAGGTTTTTTGACATGGTGTTCGATACTTAATGATTCCAATATTTACACAGCACAGTTGCAAAAGGTGGAACATTGATAAATGTGATTGAATTTGAAACTTCTGTAAAATATTGTATATTTGTTAAGCATAATTTATAATTTACTAATGAAATGTAACTCAGAATCCAAAAAATCAAAGACTGTATGATGTAAAAACTCATCTACATTCAAGTTATGAAAAAGGAATGTTTACCTGAAATTGTTTACCTATCTGGGAGTAAGTCCCATTAAACATAGTTGGACTTGTTTGACTATCAAAGATTTTCTAAGTTGGGGGTTAAAGTTTTAAAAAGTGTTCTTCATTGTCTTGTAAATTGAAGAAGAGCCATTTTTATGAAGGGAGAAATTGGGCATGCATCTAATAGCACTATATTCATCCTTAGAGATTTGATACCTAAATAAAGTAGGTTATTCATAAATAAGAGTTCAGAAGTTTATTTTTAGATGAATGTAGTACAGAAGTTGGAAAGAATGTTGAATTTAACAGGTGGCAGGTTCATATGATATACTACAGTAATAATGATTATCCAAACTGGCATGGGGATTAGGGTTAGGGTCTAATTTAGATTCCTGAAGTGGAATTAGACTTGATAACCAAAATGACCTCTTGCAACTCCTTGATTCTATCATATTGTTTACTAAGCGCCAAGTATATTATATGAGCTAAATCACTATGGTTAGTATACTATGAGGTGTGCAAAATAAATTGCTCAAAATAGATCTTTGGAGATCAAATAAATTGTCCTAACCTTACTAAAATATTCTGATGCAGTTTCTATCCTTTCAGAAGCATCTTGAATTCAAGATGATTGAATTCTGAACTTGAAACAAGGTTTTAAAATTATAATATATTCAATAAACTGCTTCAACAATTATATGTTAGCACAATCTGATTGTCCTGTCCCGGTCCATAGAAACCATAGACACAGGTCTTTTATCTTTATTTCAAAGGCTTTCAAATAGAACTCTAATGGCACAAAGTTTGAACAAACAAGAAGGCAGATAAGGAGTTGACAAATACAATAGTGAGATAAACAGAGAATTGTCACCAATGGATCTGTGAGGCATACAGCTCCCCTTATATAGGGGAGATGTGACCCTGATTTACAGAGTTCTTTTTGGCCAATAGTCTTGCTGAGCACCTTTGTTCAGCCCTCCTCTCAGTGGGCCCTTGCATTGGGGGAAATATTAGCTCCGCCTCTTGGTCTTCTGAGCCCAGCAATAGCTGCCTCTCCTGGTTGCTAGGCAACTTTTCCAGCTGAATCTCCTCAGGCTGAGGATCTTCTTCATCTTCTGAGTCTTGAGATAGCCATGACACAATGTTAGAAAGAAATCTTACCGGGTTCATTTTCAAGCTGGAAATAAAGAATGCAGGCAGTTACTTGAATCAGAGGTGAAGTTTATTTTGAGACTGTAATATACAATTAGCTATTGGAGGTGGCTGTGACGAATTGTCTCCCATAAGCCCTTTATATAGGACTAT